GCTTCTCAAAGTCCAGTGGAATCGCCTTCCTCGGCGACGACGGTACTCGGCTAGGGGTCGTCCTTGACCGTTCGCCCCTCCCCCTCCCCTCCGCTGGCGAAGCGCGCCCCTGTTGGTGCTATAGATGAACCATTGACGGTGGCTCTGGTTCATAGTTCTTGCTGGAATTCCGGATGGCGGTGGCGTCCCTCGAGGTCCACGCAAAGCTGGCAATTGGAGTCTTCTTTTCCATCATCGGTGGAGCCACGATTGGCGACGGTAAGCCCCGCTTTCTCTCCCTTGTCAGTGATTGCTGGATTCTGTTGTTTCCGGCGGCGTTTCACCTTTTCTGGTGGGGCTCGGGCCTCTTGTAGTTGGAAATCTGTGGTGGTGACGGGTGGAGCGTGAGTCATCGGGTAGGGCGGGACTTCGGTTGCCGCAGTGTTTCTTGTTGCGGCGGTTGGGGTTGAGGGACCGCGCCACCCTCATCCTCCCCTGTTCGGCTAATGGTGTTAGGCGGCGGGGGACCTGGTTCTTTCGAGCTCGGCTAATGGTGTTAGGCGAGTTCGGGTGAGCTGGTGTGAGGGCTAGTCGTTTCTCTCTCGGTTGGAGATGGGTCGATTCTGGGATTGGTTCGGGGCCCGGCTTTGGCTACTGTATAGGCGTTTGTGCAGTTCCGATAGTGGATTCTTGGGCTTGGACTATTTCTTGTTTCGATCGTTCACTGTTGGTTAAGCCTTTTTGGTTGGTGGGGAAGGGCCAGATTATTTTATTTTTGCTTCCGTTGTTTTTGTTTTGTGCTTTTTTGTGTCTGTATTGGTCTTGTGTTCACTGTTGTATTTTAGGTCTGGGTCGTTTGCCTCTGTAGCCCGAGTGTGACTTTATTATTCTGTTAGGATCGTACACTCAAGCATTACCCTGTTGTGGTCGTTTTGTGTGTTTGTTCCCGTGTCTTTGTGTTTTTTGTTTTTTGTTTTCTGCGTGTTCCCGAGTATTACCCAGTTGGTCGGCTCTAGGCGGTCTCTTGACATGTCCTCCCATTTTGTTCAGTTGTTGACTGGTTTTATTCACCTATTGGCTGTTTGTATTCAGCTGGTAGATGTACCTTTGCACATTTGTGCGCTTTTATATAATACAAATATTGCATGATTTTTCACCAATATTAGAGAACTTCATTAACAATAATTAAAGTATTTTACGAAACTTTACTGAAATTTGAATCAAAACCAACCGAGTCCAATTCAATTCACTCTTTAATTTTTAGTCTATTCCATTTCTTTTTTCGTATTGGCTTAAATATTATAATCAATATTTATGCTAATCATGATATCTCATCAAATAAAGAAAGCATTCAACTAGGTAATAAAGTCTAAAATATTATGAGTTGTAAGTCAATAAAAATGAAATAAAATAATAGGAGACTTAAATTTTTCCACCAAATTATAAAGATTTAAATAAATGAAATATTCTACTTGAATATAATTGTATAATTTTTATGTAAAATAATGATGTCATACTTATAATGAAGTCCATATAAAATTGCTTATTAACATCTTGCATCTAAATAACGGTCAATTTTATATATAAAGAAAAATCAAGTTTATATCATAAAAGTTACATCATGCATAATTTCCAAAATCACACATTGCAATGCTTTATCCTCAAATTATATGATAAACTCTACGTACTTACTGAAATCTTATTATGCAACTTGAGATCTATACAAGTTTTATAATTGTAAACGAAAAAAAAAAAAAAAAAGGGGCACTATTTTTTACATTTTGCTCAGGGCCTAACAAAGTCCGGCTATGCCATGGAGCCATTTGGTAAAAAACTATGCAATGTAGTAATCATTTTATAATATTTCTTAACCACCATTACTACATATTTTAGTCATGTGCTTTTATGAGACAAATCGAGCACGACTCCCGGCATATTTGAATATTGATATATTTTTAATAATTATGCAACTTTTTTTTTATGTAATTCCACTAAAATAGTTATTTATGTAGACCACACCATTTCATTAGAATATTAATTTTATAATTGCAATAATCAACCTAGTTCACATTGCAATCCCAGGCGGCTACCAATATACAGTAATGTTCACCTACTCACGGTAGGCACATATTTAATATGTCCACCCTGTTTATGTGGCATGCAACCAATGGTGATGACTTTTTTTAACATATTAACATCACCAATATCTACATGACACATAAACGGTGGGCATATTAACATATGTCCACCGTGAATAGGGAAACATTATCCACCCAATACATACTATTGTATGGACTGCACAGTCCACGATCGGGCCCCCGTTACCCACCCAAACGCGTCATCACCGTCCATCACTACTAGACTAGCTACTCAATTAGACCGCACTTTCTTCCCTAATTATACCACACATTTTCCTTCACTTTCAATTTCATACTGATGAACAGTAACACTAAATATTAATACTATATATATACGCCTGCATTCACCGTCTTCATCACCACCTATCAGGCTATATCACCTCAGTTCAACTCATCACACACAGTCCAAAATCCACTTTCCGCAGCGCAGTTTTATCTACAATCACTGTAACAATGGCTACTTCTTCAGCCTCCTCTGCAATCCTCAAAGCCAGGCTCTCTTCTCCTTCTCCGGCCAAGCTGACTGCGATCACTGTTCAGAAGCTTGTCTCCTTCAGCCCATTCATAAACCCACTCCCCTCTCAGACCCTCAAAATCTCCACCACCGCCTCCGCCAGAAGATCATTCTCCTGCAAGAGCCAGGCCGAATCGTCCGATCCCAGATCTTGTAAGTTTTTTTAGGGAATTAATTAAATGCTTATCCGATTGGTATTTACTAAATTATTACTGATTCGATGAATTTTTGTTCTGCAGCCAAAGTTCAGGAACTGTGCGTTTACGAGATAAACGAACGGGATCGCGGCAGCCCTGCCTACCTCCGCCTGAGCCAGAAAACCGTCAATTCACTCGGCGATCTAGTCCCTTTCAGCAACAAGGTTTACACAGGGGACCTGAAAAAGCGTGCAGGGATAACGGCGGGGATATGCGTGCTGATAAAGAACGAGCCGGAGAAGAAGGGCGACCGCTACGAAGCCATCTACAGCTTCTACTTCGGGGACTACGGCCACATAGCGGTGCAGGGTCCCTACCTCACCTACGAGGACACGTGGCTGGCGGTGACGGGTGGATCCGGCATCTTCGAGGGGGTGTACGGCCAGGTGAAGCTCCAACAGCTCATCTTCCCTTTTAAGCTCTTCTACACCTTCTACCTCAAGGGGATACCGGATTTGCCGGCGGAGCTGCTCGGTGAGGCCGTTCCCCCGTCCCCGGCGGTGGAGCCCACGGCGGCGGCGAAGGCCTGCGAGGAGGGGGCGACCCTGCCTAACTTTACCAATTAGGAGAGAGAAAGTGACGGGCACTGTTTGGTTAATTGGGGGAATAAAATTGTACTGTAGGCGAGCATGATAGTGAGATGACCAGTCGTGAAATATAAATTAGTGATAATAATTGAACTTTTTCGGGGAAAAGTTTGTTGGGGTTGTTTGTTTATTTTGTGGGGCTCTTGTGTTGGAATTTGGAGAAAGGAATGTTGGCTATTTTTCTGTTTATACGTGCCAAAGTTAGATTTTAATTTGGAAATTATTACCCGGCACGAGACTTTCCATATAATAATTCGTATTAAAAAAAAAAAAAAATTGAATGTTATATCACAAAAAAATTATTTTAAAAGCTACCTCCTACTAACTTTTGTTTTTTTCGACTGGAGGGATCCCCTCACTCCGAGACTTCACCACGATATGTCAGCCCCCAACTACGGGCCTAACAGCCTAACGGATCCAAATCCAAATCCACACCCAGAGAAGTTTGAGACTAATTATTCAAGAAGAGTGAGGTGTCTCATCCCCACTCCCCACGATAGTTAAGTTCAAATCTCTGACCTTCGCTTTCAGCATGTTCCACTATCTTGTTGGCATTCGCACTAATATGCACATCAAACTTTCAAATTCATGGACATCTTCGTCTGGAATGATGGGTTCTTAACTTAGACTCTTAGAGCACATGATCCTGCAAGGTTTATTAGTACATACAGATGAGATTGATTTCTTAGTATATTTATTGTTGTTTCAGACTTTTAGAGTTGCAACTTGCCCGTAGAAGTTGAATAACGTGAAAAACATGTATTGGGTTTCAAAAATTGCAAATTAAAAACATGTGGGGGAAAATAGAGGGAGAGTTAAAAGGAAAGGCTAATATCCATGATTAAAGAGAAAGATGAAAGCTGCACAATAAACTATGCTATCATTCAATGCTCAACGTTTTTAGGGTTACAGAAACTGCACTCCTTCCTGCTACAAGAATAGAAACTATAAATAGACATTACATGAAAGATCTCAGCCCTACATTGCAAATACTCTCCATAGATTAATGACACATGGCCTAAGAGGATAGGAATCCACAACAACCTTGTACTATCTCATAGCTGTGACATTTTGTCTTTGCATGGAGGAAACCTGAGCTCGATTCTTGTGCATGTCAGCACCATTCTCATCTGCACTCGTGGAGGGACTTTTCTGACGTGGCAAAGGTGAGGATAATACATTGACCGTGTTGACTGAATCACTTCTAATAAGAGTAATAGCTTTAAGTGTTTTCAAGACTTTGTTCGGACTCGGTATGGAAGAAACTAGGATTAATTGGCATGTTTTCACTTGGTCAAACAATAGGCAAGGAGATTTTTTTTTTTTTTTTTTTTTTAAAGAAAAAAACCTGGAAAGGTAGAGGATTAAAGCTGAACCTCAATCTCTATATACTCAAGACCCAAATTGAGCTGAAAAGTCACAAGTCTACTCGTCCAAACAATAAACAAAAACACAACCAGAAGCATAAAAAGAAAAAAAAAAAGAAAAAGAAAACCAACCAAAGCGTTAAGCGTCTGAGCCTAGGCTGACAAGTGCCGAGGCGAGCAGTCTGTACAATGAATGGGCTAAAGCACACAAACAAAATACAAAACGACTACCCAAATATGAACGATGGATAGTCAATCTGGTCCATCCGCACAAGAGGATGGAGGCGGAGAGGGGCGTGGTCTGGATGAAAAATGTGCCTTTGGGTAGTGGAGGCCCGAGCAAGAAAGTCAGCAGATCGGTTCCCCTCGCGGAAGATGTTCGGGATCCGGTTGCGGACCGATTGAAGTGTGAAGCTGATGCGCATGAGGGGGTGCTGAATCTGCCACGAACCCTACTGGTCTGCGGTCAAGAGGGTGGCGACAGCGGCATCATCCAGCTCTATCCAAATGTGAGAAGCGATAGAGGCATCAATTTGAAGACCGATCTGAAGTGCCAGAACCTCCGCGACATAACTCGAGGAGGCCTGAAGAGGGGCGTAGAAGGCGGTAATGAGAGCTCCGTTGTGATCCCTAATCAGGCCTCAGCCTCCGGCGACTCTAGTAAGTCGGTCAAATTGTCCGTCAGGGTTTAGCTTAACCTAATTAGGGGAGTCGGGCCTTAGCGAAACAACGACTCTGGGGCGTGGGTGCTAGACATGCAGCAGTAGAGATGGTACGAAGTAGTGGGGTGGCGTGCAGCCTGTCTAATTTCTAGGTGTGAGTCTGCCCAAAGCTGTGAGAAGAGAGAGATGTCGATCAACCTGCAAAACACACAACAAACATGACACTGCTTTGGACGACTCCTAAGCTCTCGACAATGGCGGACAACAATAAGGCTTCGTCGAACAGGGTATGTGGGGCTCTCGACAACGAACGAGCTCGACGATGTAAGACGGGTCACAGCTATTGCTCGGCGAATGGCTTCTTGGCATCGGCAACGTGCAGCTGTTGGTGGAGGAGGGCTTGAGTTCGAATCTCAGATGGACTCCTTGGTGGTTGAATCTATTCGGATGGCCGGGAACATGATCAAGGGCATGTGTGGATGGAACAAGACGGGGATTGCCAGTAATGGCAGTGGCTGCCCTCTCGGATAGAGGTTCTCCTTGGTATAGACTGCTCACAGCAGGAGCGGCTGCTCGCTGCTGATGCTCTTTACGCATGGAACTGGACGACGAACGACTGGTGGTCTCGTCGGCGGGAAGGGAGGCTCACGACGGGATTGGCAGAGATATGTGAGTGCTCGCGACTCACGAGGTGTTGTTTGCGGCGGGCTCGGGCGTGGTGCTGTTTGTGAGCGAGAGGCTTTCTGATGCGAGAAGAAAGGAAAATCCTGTTCTGAAAAAATGTGAGCATCGAAGGAGGAAGGGCCCTTTTCTTACGGGAGAATTAGGGAAAAATTAGATGTGTTTAATTATCCCATAATTAAAATACAACAAGGCCAAAACTAAGGTAATAAGGTCGGTCAAATGGAGAGTTTAACGACTGAATTTATCATAACGTAAAAACAAAACAATTGACATTTGAATTTTCCAAAGGTGACTAAAATCCCAAGACAAAAGGGCTAAAAGAAAAAATCATGTTAATGGGCCGGTTATGGACAATTAGATGGGCCAAATTAATCACAAAAGAGGGCTAAAAAATACACTTCCCAAGGTTTGGATATAAGGCAACAAAAACGAGTCGAAACGGATCGAAAACGGCTTGATAAAAAGATTTCATGCTATTAAACTGGAAAATTACCTAACGACACAATGAACAATTAATAAGATATATCCGAGCTAGCATAATGTATTATTCAAACAAACACAATAATAATGCAAGCATTAAAATATATAAGGCATAACAAATAAAGTAATACATTATACCAATAAATAGAATAAATCCGAGAAATTATATAAATCGAACAGGACACTACAGTGTTAATTGCTTTTATGATTTGGAAAACTGTAGAGGGTCCACCCAGACCTCGAAAGTTCCACACCACAACCCTCATTTATCTGGGTGCGACCATTCAGGGCTGGTCCCCTTTACACTTTTCCCTTTGAGCTTGAGTCTTTTGTGTCTGCTCAACTGTTTCCATACTCTCTTCTCCTTTCTAGTCTCTCTGCTCTATTTCGTTTTAGCCCTTTCAGCTCCAAATTTCAGTTCCTCTCCCAAGTTTCCTATATTCTTCCTTCATTTACAACAACCATTTTCCATGTTTTCACCTGAGGAGATAGACCATGATTAATAACATTCATCTCAACCCCTTTCCCTATTAGTTCCATTTTCATCCCGGTGCCTATTCCCTCCCCCTATGGATATGTTTCTTCAATTATATTATAAGGGTTTATCTAAGGAAGGGTTAGAATACCCTCTCCCTTGACTTCTTTGTTAGAAGTTTTGATAGATGAAGATGACTCCATAAACACAAACTACATATTTCTCTGAGAGTTTTTTTCTTTATTAGTTTATTCTCCTTGGTTGGTGGACTCTTTCTTGTCTCCTTCTTTACTTTTAGCTGTTATACTTGTAGTATGATTAGAGTACCTATTCCCAAAAGAGTTTGTTCGATTTTTTTGAGGTGGAGATTCTGTCATTTGGATTCATTCTACTGTTTTCATCCCTTCCCTGAATTGTCCGTTATTGAGCTCATTATTGATAATATCCACTAATCTCTTCTTGGAACTCATGTCTGAGTGCCCCACTCTTCCACAATAGAAGCATAAATTAACTAATTTTTCATATTTAGAATTAACAGTTACCAACTGCTCCTCCATCCTTATTTTTGTCCATCTAGGAAGTGGTTCATTCAAGATCAAGGTTACCTAGATTATGATAGCTTTGCCCTTAGTCCCCTGCCTCGGCCATGTTGACACTTTGAATTCCTTTGAATACTCTGCCTAACTTTATTCCCACTTAAGTACAAATCCAATTCAAAGGTTCATTGTGAGCCGTGACGTAGATAGTTAATTCCTCAAAGCAAGGATGTGTACTGTTTAATCCTTACCTCCATTCTTTAAGAGTTAAGTGGTGATTGCCAAACACCCAATTACTTCTTGGGAGAACCTTATCCATATCTTCCTTATTATGGAAAATGAATTAGATGAAATTGAAACTGAGTTCCCTTACCTATAGTTGATGCCCTAGCTTCTAGATTATTCCCATTGTCCGGCCTTCTTTAACCCACAACCTTTCAAAATAAGCTTATGTGGCAATCCACTTAGCTCGTACAAACATCCTTCTCTTCAATATGTTTTCTGCCTCCGATAGAGACTTTCCCCAATTGTTTCTCCAGTTCTTCCTCTATTTCAATGTTCTCCAATTTTGAATTCTCATTATCCACCATTGGGCCAATGCCCAAATAACTCACACTTTTGCACAAAATTCGGATCGAACAAAGAACTCCAAAAAACTACCTTGTGAGCTAATTAAGGAGGGAACAAATGAACTCCAAAAGAAAACAAATAAGTAGAATCGAAAAGTGCTTCTCTAAAGCTTTTAACTATGTTCTTTCTGTGGTGAAAAGTAAAA